CAGGCTGAACAACCCCAACTCTCTCAGCCTGTTCTCATAGGGGAGGTGCTCCAGCCCTCTGACCATCTTCGTGGCCTCCTCTGGACCACTCCAGCAGCTTGATGTCCTTCTTGCGCTGGGGGGGCCCAGACCTCGGCGCAGCACTCCAGGGGTAGTCTCATGAGAGCAGAGCAGAGGGGCAGAATCCCCTCCCTCAACCTGCTGCTCACACTTCTCTTGATGCAGCCCAGGATCCGGTTGGCCTTCTGGGCTGCAAGCGCACACTGCCAGCTCACGTTCAGCTTTTCATCTACCGACACCCCCAAGTCCTTCTCCTCAGAGCTGCACCCTAACCATTCTCCACTCCGCCTGTATTTGTGCTTGGCATTGCCTCAACCCAGGCACAGGACCTTGCACTTGGCCTCGCTGAACTTCATGAGGTTGGCACAGGCCCACCTCTCCAACCTGTCCACGTCCCTCTGGATGGCATCCCTTCCCTCCAGCACGCTGACTGCACCACACAGCTTGGATGTCTTCAGCAAACTTGCTGAGGGTGCACTCGATCCCACTGTCCATGTTGCCAACAAAGATGTTAAATAGCACTGGTTCCAGTACCGATCCCTGAGGAACGCCACTCATCACTGGTCTCCATTTGGACATGAGCTGTTGACTGCAACTCTGAGTGCTACCATCCAGCCAGTTCCTTACCCAGCAGGTGGTCTATCCATCAAATCCATATTTTTTCCAGTTTGGCCACCAGGATGTTGTGAGGGACAGTGTCAAATGCTTTGCAGAAGTCCAGGTAGACGACATCAGTTGCTCTTCCTTTGTCCACTGATGCTGTAAATCCATCATAAAAAGCCCCCAGGCTTGCCAGGCACAATTTGCCTTTGGTGAAGCCATGCTGGTTACCAATCACCTCTCCTTAATTTTCCATGCGCCTCAGTAGAGCCTTCAGGTAGATCTGTTCCATGATCTTGCCAGGCACAGAGGTGAGACTGGCTGGGCTGTAGGTCCCTGGGGGTTCCCCGGGAATTCCTTGTTCCCCTTTTTAAAAATGGGGGCTATGTTTCTGCTTTTCCAGTCAGTGGGAACTTCACCAGACTGCCATGACCTTTCAAATATGATGGATAGCGGTTTGGCAACTTCATCCGCTAGTTCCCTCAGGACCCGTGAAGGGATCTCATCAGGTCCCGTGAACTTGTGCACCTTCAGGTTCTTTAGATGGTCTCGAACCTGATCTTCACTTACAGTGGGCGGATCTTCCTTCTCCCAGTTCTTACCTTCACTTCCTGCAACAGGGGGATGTGGCCACAGCCCTTGCCAGTGAAGACCGAGGCACAGAATTCATCGAGTACCTCAGCCTTCTCCGTATCCCTCATAGCCAGGTCTCCAGTTTCCTTCCGGAGAGGGCCCAAATCTTCCCTACTTGTAAAAGATATTCCAAGAAATGTTCCACCAGCAGCTTGAGGTTGTGGAGAGTTTGCCTTCCTCTAAAAATACTGTCCTAAGCGTGTTTCTATGCTGGGCTAATTCCCAGGTATTAGTTGCCCTGTGTTAAATAAACCGTTTAACAAACCAGAGGAGGACACGCAGGGTGGCCCAAGCTCCCCTCTGCCCAGGCAGGCAGACAGGTCTCTGTATCGCCTACCACCAATGCTCTCTCCTTTTGTCAGATGGCGGCAGCAGAGAGAAATAAAAGCACCTAGCTCTTCAGAGGGCTGTCTGCTGTCCACAGGGCTGCCCATTCAGCTGGGGTCCAGACTTAACTATAAACCAACACTGATTCTTCCCAAGACAAAAGTCTTTCTTCCCCACACTGTAGTTATCTTATCTTACTGTCTCCTTGTGCCCACCTCTGTACTGATTTCCATCCAACCGACTTCTTAAATTAGACCAATACTGAAGTGTTTGAAAGACCTGGATTTAACAAAAGCTGCATTAAGGTTGAATACCATCACAAAAATCAAAAGACTCCTCTTTATGTCAACTCTAAAAACTTCCAGCAGTCCAGACTCTCCTGTGTCCCTCTACATTTCATACATGAAAAAAATTGTCTGCTTTTCCAGCAAATTGTACCTTAACATCTGAAATAATGTATCAAAACAAACTAGGATTGTGTCAGCCATGTGGCTGTTGCAAGCACGCAACCCAAGTTTTGTTAATGAACACTAAAAAACCCCCACACACTACCCCAATACATGACCCCTGTTAACTACCATTTCAGTGTGTTCCTCACTTCTGTCATTATGATTCATAAAACAGATTAAAAATAAGAATTTCTGAAGTTGAAAGTCAAACTTTTAGTTGAAGCGCCTCAGAGCATCCACTAAAAAATGTGTATGTAATGTCAATAAAAAAGATACACCTGTAGCTTTCTGCTTTATTTTAAGCTCTTCAATTTTCAAAATATATTTCTTTTCATAAGATAGGTTGCAGCATTCACCTGCAATAACACTAACTTTACTCAGAGGAATTACCAATACCTAGAAAAGGCTGCTACAGACACATTAAGCAGGCAATGAATGGAGCTAAACGCCTTTTTAAAGCAAGGACTGGCTATTCATATTAGAAACACAGTTTTGGCATGGAGCATTCTATCTCGGACAAAACTACCTGATCTGTATCAATCATAAGCAAACAGAAATAAATATTTACAATTTTCTAAAAATAAAACTTTTAAGAACTCCTTCTCTCTCCTGACTTTTCCTTTAAACAATTCCAGCTCTGATAAAATTTATTCCCAAAGAAGATAATCACAGGAGTGATTCTTTTTCCTTGGGAAAGTAGAAAAGTGGGAGGTTAACTGTATTTACATCAAAAACTCTGCTATGTAAGAAAGGTTACCCTACAGAAACCTCTTATTGAGCGTGAAGCACTACTGTAAAAATCAGCGTGAAGTTAGAGAACAACAAGCAGCATCTCTGAAGTCCTGCTAAGCAGAAGCAGCTTTTTCCCTGGAAGTAAAACCAAATTCAAATAATTTGTTCAGACGGTGCAAGGCCCCACTTTTTTCTGGCGGCAAAGCCAAGAACATCTATAATTGCATATGTACAACAGTACCCTATGTAAAGTCCAAACATCCTAGGATGAAGCATCCAAGGACCTTTCATCACTTTAAAACCAGCCAGTTTTTGTAAGGAACCACCAGTTCATTCAACAAGCCACTGACACGCTCTTGGGCAGTGAGGAAAAATAAAATTAATTTATTATCATCATGATCCTGTTTCAGAATGCTCCTATTCAGAGCTGTCCCTTTTCCTATTTTTCCCTTTTTTTTTAAAAGAAAAAAAAAAAGGCAAATGCGAAGTACATACTATCATGTTTAAATCACCCTGGAAGAGAGGAAATCTAAAATACTGGCATAAAATAGAGAAATGCTGACACTCCTTTGATAAGAATTAATTTCTGAGGCTACTGACTTCCTGGATCACTGGAGAGACTGTCCAATACAGAAAATCACTAAATCCTTCTTAACTCACCTACTGCACCATCTTTAAAATCCCCACATTCAGGGGTGGACAATCCTCTGTTTAAAGAATCAGGTTGAAGTTTATAAGTCAAGAGGACAAATAAAGACACCAAGATTTTCATACTTGAATCATCCAGACAAAGTGTCACAGAACTAAAATAAAGGGTCTATTGTGTAACAACAAAACTGCAAATAAATTGTAACTTTGTGCAAGATAAATTTATGAAAAGCATTCCCCATTAAGTCAGCTCTAAACCAACATTTGCATTGGGTAGCGGTATTCATCAGAGATGGAAAATAAAGGAATATAATCTCAAACCTCACTCCTATTCTAAGGAGGACAAATCGGGACAATTCAGGCTTCACTGTGAAGGACAGATAAGATTTTAATGTAACTAGTGTAACAATTCTTGGGGGAAATTAAGAAACCATACAAACCTGTTTTTCTGATTAGCATACAGCGGTGTTACAGTTAAAAATTTTAATGAGGATAATTAGGAATCCAGAAACATGTTAACAGGGACACTTCCTTCGCAGAGCAGTTCAAGGGTTCTTGCCTCTCGTACAGCCTCACACACACAGCAGCGGACACCGGGCACCTTGTGAGCGTCAGC